CGTAGGAAAGCTGCCTCCATCCTCAAAGATCCCATCCACCCCCAGCACGGACTGTTCGCCTTCCTACCCTCTGGCCGGAGGTTCAGAAGTGTGAAATGCAGGACCTCCAGACTGAAAAACTCTGTTTCTCTCTGCCATCAGACTCCTAAATGCCAGAGGAGTTTATTACCAGGAAATACGTCATGTATTGTTTACATTCTCAGTTTGCACATGCATAATTGCACATTGGCTGTTGACTGCTGCACATGCTGCTCCCATGCAGCATACATTCTCTTATTAGAAAATATTTTTATTATATTGCTGCATTTGCTGCTTAAAGTGCCTTAGATTTTGTGTTACTTATTTATCTACTTTATATTTCATCTGTATTTTGTGGCATTCATGTGGACGGCAAAGTAAGAATTTCATTGTACAAGGAAACAAGTTTCCTAACTGTGCATGTCATATGACAAACACTTTGACTTTGAACTTGAGTTGTTCACCACTGTCGCTCACGGTGAGTGACACGTCTCTGAACTCGAAGCCATCACTCCATGCTAGTCTAGGGACTTTTACGGGGACTGTTTTATGCTGTAAAACAATAAAACATCAACAAGTGCAAAAGGGATTAACACTTTTACAGGCAGTGAACATGGTCTCACGTCTGGGACATCACACGTTTACCCTGAATAACAAATAGGTTTCGAGCACCAAATAACGAGTGCATTTTAATTTGTCCTCCTTGGTTTGTAACAAAAACTAGCTACTCGTCTGGTTAGTATTTTTCCTATGATGTTTAGCGGCAACATGTTAATAAGCTACGTATGTTTCTATTGCCCCAAACCAACCAATCACAGTTTTCGGATGTTTTGCCCATATTTAGTATTGTCGGCCGACATTTAAGGTTATATAAGAATTGTCACTCTTCATTTGAAACTGGTTTGTCCGCGGTGTTGAAGGTAAGTGTGTCAACGTACTAAAGACTAACTAACTCACTTTTAGTATATGGATCCATATTTAGTAATATGTTACGTGCATGTTCCCTCCCTGCTTAGCTGTACAGATTTATAGCTATTCCCGAAATACAACAGGTGGGAAAGATGTCCGGAAAAGTGATTCTGCACTACGTAAATGGGAGAGGGAGAATGGAGTCAATCCGCTGGCTTCTGACGGTTGCAGAGGTGGAGGTAAGTGAATGTCTTGGTGAAATGAATCGGAAGCGTTTCTGCCTTTTACGACCACCAAACATCTTCAGCGTGTTTTATAATTTTACGTTTAACGTTACAGTTTGATGAGATGTATCTGACAACCCATGAGCAGCTTCAGAAACTCATCAGCGGTAAGTTAGTTGCAAAAATGTGCTAAAAGCTAAACGTCAATGGACCGAAAGTTATATTATGTCATCTGGGTTTATGCTGCAATGTGGGTATCTCAAATAACTTATGGCCAGTGATGATAAGAAAGAAGTTAATGTTTTAGCAGTGGGAGTTCCGCCCTACATATTATACTGTCGTGGGTGTTTCTTCTGCAGATGGAGAGCTCATGTTTCAACAGGTTCCCATGGTGGAAATCGATGGCATGAAACTTGTCCAGACTAAGGCAATCTTGAAGTACATTGCAGAAAAGTACAATCTTCATGGAAAAGATCTCAAAGAACGTGTCATGTACGGTCCATTTCTTTAACCTCGTAATGAGGAGAATGTCTCTAGTATCATGTCTACATTATTTGATTTTTATTAGATGAACATCTCACAGTAAATTGTGATGCCTTCCCCAGGATCGACATGTACTCAGAGGGACTGATGGATCTCATGGAAATGATAATGATAGCACCTTTCAGCCAAGATCCAAAACCAAAACTGGACAACGTTCAAACTAAAGCAAAACAACGCTATCTCCCTGTGTTTGAAAAGGTACATACATGTCTACTGTACATATTTGATGATGTGACATGGTCTAAAAGCTGATTCATGTTGGCTAAAAACACCTAACGATGCTGCTGACTATTCTCTATGACTCTTTATCATCACTAAACTAGATATTGTGTATCTTTGACAAACTTCCCAGGCGCTGACCGGGCCTGTGCACCTGGTGGGAGGTAAAATAAGTTGTGCAGATGTGCTGCTGCTTGAATGCACCTTGATGTTGGAGGAGAAATTTACTGGAATTCTCGCTGATTTTCCCAACATCAAGGTAAATGTGAGGTGATGTACTGTATGAGGCTAGATATACAATGGAACGATAACAAAGATAGCTTCTTCCTTTGAAATTCCAGTATAGCATTAACAATCACATCATTGTACAGAAATGCACAGCCAGTAGTGCTCGCTCTGTTTAAAGGTGGTTTTCCGTGTTTCTCTCCAGGCTTTCCAGGGCAGAATGATTCAGATTCCCGCCATCAACAGGTTCCTGCAGCCAGGCAGCAAGAGGAAGCCACCGCCAGATGAAAACTACGTGAAGATGGTCATGAAGGTGTTCAACTTAGGCAGTTTGCCTTTTTGATTTTGATTAATTCTGAAAAAGCTCTGGCATATTCCTCACACAGGCACTGTGAATGGTTAATTATGCAGTCATATGACATACAAAGGTACAGATCAATTCTATGTGCTGGTTTATCAGATGAATACTGCGCTGCCTGTCTCAAAACATATTTAGCAGGACAGAGATGTCTAATGTATGTGGTTTAATGTGAAAATTCTACTAAATAAATCACAATTTTGATGAACACTGGAGAAGCTGCTGTATTTTTGCTCTGTGTCAAATCAGTGGATCCATTCAGACAACTGCCACACCTTGTACCCAAAAGAAATGCATTATTTTTAGAATTGCACCTGTTTATTTAGTTCAGCTGTTACTACAAAAATCACAAACATAATTACATTCATTCTTTTCCCGCCTCAAAAACATCTTGGCATGTAAGACGTCAAGAATACAAATTTTATTTAAGCTTGTTCCTTTTTTCAGTACTTTGAAGAATTCCTACTTAAGCTCTATATTTTAGCAGCCTATGAAATCAGTGTTGTAGTGTTTATAGTAAACCCACTGTCAAGACATACAGCAGCACCCAAAATGCCCCGGTACAAGTGTTATGCTGCCAGCATTGTGAGTGGAAATGTGGCAAAAATACAAGATGGAAATTCATGAGATTTACATTTAAATGCACAGCCACATACATATACAAAACAATTTGGTCTATATAACATCAAAAGGTTACTAGTTGATCTTAAATCCATTAATAACTCTCTGGTAGCTTTTGTAAAGGTCCTGGTCACATGAATGTTAAGTTACCATACAGAACAGAAGACTTGTCTTTGTATGTCAACTGGGAATGATGTCTCCAGTGCTTGTTTGTTGAGAACTGCAGAGCCGTCAGTCTGCTGACTTGCTCCTCCAGTGATGTCTCCAGTGCTTGTTTGTTGAGAGAACTGCAAAGCCGTCAGTCTGCTGACTGTTGCTCCTCACACCATGATCAGGAGTAACAGGCGAAACACCATCATCAAACTAAGAAAGAGGAAGCAAATTAAAAAAAATTACAGATTCAACAAATGTGCAATAAACAATTTCCCCTGTGGTGATTTCCACAGTAAAATTATATGTACATTCAGCAAGTTGGACTCTGACCTCAGCCCTGATACGAGGCCAGCCGGCAGTATTTTTCCAGATTTTTTGTACCTCATTCCCATCACGACTGCGAGGGCTCCTGAGGACACTGAAAGACAAACAACACCATGACATACTGACTGGATATCTTAACTGATTTGCCGCTGAAGCTCAGTGTACTGAGCTAAGCCACACTCACACAGTGAGAGCTTGATATCCTTTGGGTCATTAGAGATGTTGTAGGCACCATAAGCAGATAATCCACCAAAAATTAAACCAGCTACCAGGGACATCACACTGCCTACAGTGAAACAGAGAAGGGATTATTTCACAGATTCATCATGTGGAAAACAATTCTTTTTGCTTGAGATGTCTGCCAAAATAAAAAAGAAAATACAGTGGATCAAGTTTGAGCTTCCAACCTTTTCTCTTATATCCCATAAATCCTCCAATGGCAATGGCTGCAGCATAGCTAAACCCAATCCAGTCTACTGCCATCACAAAGCTGTAAACAGAAAGACAAAACAGGGTGTCATGTTTGTTTGGCATTCATGCTGAACTAAGATCACAAATCTGATTGGTAACCTCATTCATTTCTAAAAATCTGAAGTGTTATCTATCATACAGTACTTCATACACTGTATATAGTTCTGTATGCTATGTAACACTTCAACATTTTAGAACTGAATTAGGTGAATTCAAATCATTTGGGACAGCACAAGACAACAACATTATACTTCTGCCTTGAAAAGTGTCAGTCAAAACATCTGGTGCTGAGACCTTGCTGTGGAATCACATGATCAAAGTCACATGACATAATTCCCATGTCATCACATAGGGCTGTGTGGTCAGCATCAAACAGGAAGCTGACCCCAAAAGGTAAGGTGTATGAGAAATGACATAGGCTCCGGCTTGATTTTAATATAAGAGTATAAAATTTGAACGAACAATATATTGTAGATATACAGTGGGTACGGAAAGTATTCAGACCCCTTAAATTTTTCACTCTTTGTTATATTGCAGCCATATGCTAAAATCATTTAAGTTCATTTTTTTCCTCATTAATGTACACACAGCACCCCATATTGACAGAAAAACACAGAATTTTTGACATTTTTGCAGATTTATTAAAAAAGAA